GGCTCCCAGTCTGGCCCCAGGAATAACACTTTTCCTTCCAAGAATGCCTGGGTGAGGCAGGCATTGAGGAGGGGGCCTGTACACCTGAGTCCCACCTGAGGGCTGGTCCCCAGGGTTCAAACCCCCAAACCCCGTGGCCCAAAGTGGAGATATAGTCCTCCAGACAGAAGTGCACATGGAGCCTACCACTGAGCCACCCCGGTCCCAGAGGAGCCAGGACAGCAAGGGAGAGGGATCAATTGTGGCCAAATCCCGACCCCCAAGCCCAGGCCACGCTGGCACCTTCCTGGGCACGTCCCTGGTACTGCTGCCTCCAGTCCTCAGTCCAACTCTGGGAGGAGGGCTTGCCACTCCCATTGCGCACATGAGGAAACTAAGGCTCAGACATACTTCTGACACATGGGCTGTCTCTGGACTAAGCATGGCAAGTGCATCATAAACCAGTGCCAACCACCTTGGCCTGAAGAGCTGCTGGGGTGGGCAAGGCAGCCGAGGCCCGGTGGGGGATGACGGAAGGCCCCACTTGGATGGTCAGAGCAAGTCTCTCTGAGGAGGTGACATCTGAATAAGCCCTGAGTGAGGAATGAGAAGTGGCAGCTAGGTGAAGAGCTAGAGAAGAGAATGCCGAACTGCGGGAACGAGCACAAAGGTCTTGAGATGGAAAGAACTTGGTGGTTGTAAAACCTATCAGGCCACTGAGGTGGCTGCTTTTTAGGGAGAAAGGAAGAGTATGGTGCAGACGAGGAGGGGCGGTCAGCAGGGGCTGGCCACCCAGGCATTCAGGCCGTGGTGAGTGGCTTAGATTTTACTTCAAGAGCAATGGGAGCCTCTACAGGGCTTCATCAGGCGAGAGGTGGGATCTGACTTATGTTTGGCTGCTCTGTGGATCCTGGATTGAGGGTTAGGGTAGGGTTGTGGGGAGGGACCCAGGTCCACTGCAGGGACCCTAGTGGAGGCTGCCTTCCTGGGGGAGGGATGGTGATGGTTGGGGCTTGGAGGTAGCGAATGAAGTAGAGACGTGGAAGATTTGGGATGTCTGGAGGGAGCCCAGATGCCTGCCAGCCCCCTATTTGTCTTCATCTGGCAGACAACTCTACTCCTTCAGGAAGCTGCTCAGCAGACCCTCCTCACAGCCTAGGCAGGGGCCAGGTCTTCCCAGGACATGCCAGCAGGACCTTTTGTGACAGTACTCCTCTGGCCAGGGATTCAGGTCTATTCATCTGTCTCCTCCACTCAGCTGGGCACTCCAGGGGCAAAGGCTGGTTCTGCTCTGTCTGGTGGCCAGGCTGGTGCCAAACTCTCTCCTAACAGGCTTCATCCCAACCAGGGCTGGTGACCAACCATCACTACCCCTCCTCCGCGAGGCCCCACTGCTCACACTCTGAGGGGTGTGGAGGGTTGGGTGGGTGCATCTCTGCAGAGCCCCCCCGGACCGGCTAGCCACGCGTCAGCAGCACTTCCTTCCTCTGCTCAAGTCTTGCTCATACCCTCACCTCCTGCTCCCCCAGGGCTTGCTCCCCTCGCCTGGACCTCAGACCTTGGAGTCAGAGAACATAAGCCCAATGGCCAGAAGCCCACTGCTTCAAGTGGGCTCCTTCACATCAGATGTCTCTGGGCATGCCCAGACACCAGGACGGCACAGGGAAACAGCCCCAAGTCCCTGTATGAGCCAAAGGGCTCAGCTCAGCTATTTATTTTTTAAATTGAGATGTAATTCACATACCTTAAAATTGACCATTTTAAAGTATACAATTCAGCGGCTTTTAATATATTCCCAAGATTGTGCAACCATCACCACTACCTAATTCCAGAACATATTCACCACCCAAAAAAAGAAACCCCATACCCATTAGCAGTCACTCCCCATTCTCCTCTTCCCTCAGCCCTCGGCAACCACTCCTCTACTTTCTGTCTCTATGGATTTGCCTATTCTGGGCATTTCATCTAAATGGCAAAAGGCTCAGCAGCCTTCCAGGCCACAGATACCAAGCAGAGCCCATAGAAGGGGTCAGAAGAGTGACATGGCCTCATATCCTTTTTGAGATGGGGATTTGCACCAGACTGTCAGTTCTGCACTAAGACTCTGAGTTTCCCTAAGGAGTGATGCCTTACTCATCCCAGAAATACCTCAAAGTCTGGCGCAGGACCAGTCATTGCCCCTCCCCACCTCAATCCCAGAGCGGAGCAAACAAAACAAAACAATAGTGGCTACTGGTCTAGGCCAGTAACTGTCTGCAAGCCTACATTAGATGCCTCAAAGACATCAGCTATGAAATTAACTTTGACCTAATTTCCACTTCCAAAAACAGAGTTTGCAAGAAACCAAGTACCAAAAAGAAGGAACCTTTTGGGAAAAAAATCCCTCTGCCCCCCTGGCAGTTGTCTGTGAGGTGGTCATTTGGCCCATTGCTCCTGACAACGTTCAAGTCTGCCTGCTTTAAGGTGTCCAGTGTAGCAGCCGCGTGGGTATTCCACCTACACAAGGGCAGATGAGGTCCCTGGCATGGGTCTTCCCCACTGTCAGGGGAGGTCAAGTGTTCGGCCCTGAGCTCCCCCGCACAACTGTTGACCACTTGGATTCTCTCAGAGAGTGCAAAGAGCAAGAGGGGCCAAGTTCTAAGGCTCAAGGGGAGGGGCTGGGCAGTGTGTCATCTGTCCCCTGAAGAGGGGCTCAGGAAAGCAGAGCTTTGGAAAAAAACTTCCAAAGGTGATTTTCCTCAGGTCTCCTACAAGGGACTCCTAACCCATCGTAAGAGTTTCTTTTCTCATTCCAGACACACGAACCTTGGATCACATGATAAATGTGCTCCCAAAACATGGGGTCAATTAATTTTGCTTTTTAAATCCTCACCATATTTTATATGTCCACACAGCTCTGAGTAACACAAAGAACTACTACTCTTATTTGCTATTTGGTTGTAAGTATCAGATTTGCTTAAAGGAGGCTCCCCTATATTCACGTACATCTTCCTCACCCAGCATCTCCCCACCTTAGGCCCTTGCCTCTGTCCTTGTCCCCAGCCCCACGGAGCAGCCGATGCCAGGGCACAGAAAGTCAGCTCCAGAGCCTGCCCTCCTCCTGTGTTCCCATAAGCCAGGCTGCGGGAGGCTACAGCTGTGTGGGGAGGAGGACAAAGGGATCTGCCCCTATAAGAGAGGGCGCGACACATAGAAATGCATCTGCTGTACCTTGAGAAAGAGCCCAAAGTTGAAAAAATGAATGATCCAGGCCAGGGGAGTGATGGTGTGCCTGCCCTAGTTCCTACTCCCCCCACAATCCTGACTGCTAGAGGCAGCCATCCATCTGCCTACACTTTGACCAGTGTAAGCTAAAGGACACCAAATGGTCCCATCACCACACCCTTACGAAGAACGAGGCACTCCCACTCTGGGCACTCTCCTACCACTCGCCCAGGCTGTGAAAGGAACTCGGAAACACCGCCTTTTCCCTGCACCTCTGTGTGATCATAAGATGCTGGAGGGAATCTGCCTGCTAGGTCTGCTTTGGGTCCTAGGCCTTTTGTTTAGTCATGACTATAAGGGACGCCAGCCCCCTGTCAGCAGCTCACGTGCCTGTGGTTTGGCAGTGGTGGGTCATGTCCCACCACTTGGCCCCAAATCTAAGGGTTTACACCTTGTAGGGGGCCCCCAAAGCATCCTTCAGTATCAGCTCATGGAGGGTAGAGGTCTCTGGGGAGAGCTGCTGCGTCAGGTGGCAAGGTCAGAAGGTGAGCCCCTTGCCCCACAGACTTGGAAGGAAGCGAGTACCTCACAGATGGAGCCACCCCAGAGCAGAAAGCCAGACAGACCACTCAACCAACATGTTCCTTCACAGATGAAAGAATGGGGGTCCAAAGGGCAAGGAGCTTATTTCTAGTCAGCTGCCTACCACCAGGTTTTCCATCCTGGGTTTCTGGAGAGAAGGCTCAATCTACTTTCTCATGTCCTACCAGCTTCAGCATGAAACAGCTTTCAGAACCAACCCTCCTCACTCCTGATCTGACACAGCCTGGCAGTCACTCTCCGCCCTCTGGGTGGCCCCCACCACTAGCCATGTGAGCCTCCTACTGCTGGCCTGACCTGCCCTGGGTCTATTTGTACCCAACACCCACCCACCACAAACCCCAAACCCTTACATGAACTCTAGAAGCTCTAATCTCACCCCTGACTTCGGCCAGCTGAGCACACTCTGAAACACTAATCTGAATCTTTTGTAAGTGCAGCTTTACTGCTGCTCCACAGCACTCAGAAAAGGCTCTTCACACCTTAGGTCATCTGCACCAGTGGGCAAAAAGCATGGTTTGTAATGATCATGGAATCTTCTCAAAGCACTGGGTACTTAAATTTAATTTGCAAATTCATTAAACAGGCCGCTTACTGACACTACTGATTTGAAACACCTTTGCAAACCCTTCCTGGTGCATTTGAGACCCAGCCAGCTTCATAAAAACCCACTTTCCACACATGGTGTTCGGGTTGTTTCTCTGGTAAGGCCACATTCATGCCAATAAGGACAGAGCGAGTAGAGCATGTTTCTCCTGTACAACCAGGAGACCTGAAGCAGACCAGCTTTTCTGCCCGTTCCTCCAAACACTGAGGATTGGGGCTTAGTGGGAGAAGGCTAACAGCAAAGCTCACAGCTCTGAGCACACCACATCCACCACCGTCAGGAGGGGTGGGTGGTCTCAGCTTAACCGTTCTCCAAGCCGACTCCATCCCAGCACCACCCAGCACCAGGACAGGGCCCACGCCTGCTAGTGAGCAAGCTGGAAGACAAAAGCCGACCGCTGGAGGCAGGTGGGGTGCCTAGGGCAGCCCTCCTTACTCCAGGAAAGTTCTCCTTCTGGTTCAGATCCCGCTGGGTGTGGATGGGGAAAGAGACAAGAACAGAGTTCTGTATCCATTTTGTTCTAGGCAAAAGTCACTTCTTGCCCATGCCTCACATACCTGATCAAGAAGGTAGCAGGCACAAGGCGGGCTGGGCTGCTGGGGCCACTTACCAGCGAGGGCTGCGGCTGGGGGTGCTGCCCTGCTCCCGAGGGGGGTGGGTAGTGCATGAGCAGATTGAAGGCGGAGTAGACGGTGTCTTTGTACATGCCGCTGGCGCACTCCGGGGTCTTCAGGCCTGGAAAAACCACAGCTGGTCAGAAGCGCCAGCCCGGGCGTCTCGGGCTGAAGGCTGTCTGCTCGCTCGAGAGAAAATCGGAATTGCCAAGGGGTCCCCTTCAAGTTCGTGACTTGAAGGGCTGGGGGTGCCCGCAGTGCCAAGTTTCGACGAAGGACCCCGAGTTCGGGCCTCCCTTTCTCGGCCCCCACTCCGCCCTCCCGCCAAGGAACCTTGGCCAACGTTTTCTCCTCAAGTCGGGGGATTAGTCAGTCACCTGGGCAGGAGGGGAGGCGGAGATGGCGGGGGTCTGTTTACTCCTATAAAGGTCAGGGCACCGGAAGTGACTCGAGCCCGGCGGCGCCCGGGAAACCCGCCCCCCACTCCCCCACCCCCTCGGTTTTACCGCCTCCTCGAGCTGCAGTTGGGGGGAGGCACCCCATCGGCTCCCTCCCGTCCTCAAAGGCCGCGCTCTCCCACCGAGGCCGGGCCTTAGCGGGAGGAGGGGAGCCAGGCCGGCAGAAACTCACCGTCTTCCAGAGACTCTGGAAGTTTGTCGGGGAAAAGTCTCTGCGAAGTGTGTTCCCGCCCGAGAGCCTGCGGGGAGATCCAGAGGGGCCTTTAGAGGGCTGGGAAAGCTGGGGGCTCGGGGCCCGGGGCAGGAGGGGTCTGAGGGATGCGGACCCCCGAGGGCCGCGGGAGGGAGGGGCGGGGTAGCGCGAGCCGACCGCCGGGGCCGGCGGAGCGTGGCGGCTGAGGGGGAGAAGCGGGGCGCGGGCCGGCGCTCACCTCGGCCTCGCCGCGGGCACCGGCGCCCGCCCCCGGGACCCCCGCGTCGCCGGCCGCGCCCTCGGACTCATTGACGAGCGACGACTTGAGCTCGGCCAGGTCGCGCTCGGGGCCCGCGGCGCTGTCGCGGCTCTTGTCGTCCTGCTCCTCGCCCTCGTCCTGGAAGGCCAGCAGCTCGTCGGGCGCGCCGAGGTCGTCGCCGCCGCCCGCGCCGCCCCCGCCCGAGTCCAGCTGAGGCATGGTGCGCTCCTCCCTCGGGGGCGCGGGGCGCGGGGGTGCGGGGCGCGGAGCCGGCCCGGGAGGCAGCGAGCCCGGAGTCCGGACCTCCGAGCCCGGAGCGCGGCGGGCGGAGCGCAGGCTGACTCCGCCTGGGCGGGCTGCGGGTGCGGGGCGCGGACGCAGGGCTGAGAGGCTCGGGGAGCTGGCGGGTCCGAACATCAAAGGCGCCGCCGGCTGAGTGCCGGGGGCGGGGCGGGGACGCCGGGGGCGGGCCCTGTCGATGGGCGGAGCCATATCGCCCCGCCCCTCCTCTCCCGGGAGAGGCCGGGACGTGCCCAGTGGGTAGAGACTTAAAGGGCTCGCTCTCCCAGGCATAACCTGAGTGAGGCGTCGGAGGAGCCTGAAAAGCATCACACTTCTGCTGAAATGCGGGGACTCTAAAGGAGATTCTTGACCTTGATTCCTCACCTACAACAAGGGAGTCCCTTCCTGCGCCCAGGTTTCTCCCCCAGCTACGGAGGGCACGGAGTTTGTGGGTGCCTTGGAACGGGAGCCAAGGTGTGAGCAGAGTCTGTGCCCCGGGCCCAGTATGTCCTGGGCTTGGAACTGGGGGCTTCCTAGAGCTCGGGGGCTGCTCGAGGCTGTGCTCGAACACCGGGACGGCAGAGTTAGGACTCCTCAAAACTCCATTCTCTGAAGCATCTTGCAGCCTTCTGCCAATCTGGGCCTCCTTCCAGGTCGCCCGCACACAGTGCTAACGCAAGCATATACCCCTCACACATTTATTGAGTGCCTGTTGTATGAGGGACTCATACATTACACATATGTGATGGGCCTCTCAGCCATGTGGCGGCTCCGAGGCGCGAACACAGCCAAGAGGGCAGGGAGGAAATATCCCGCCAGACCCCATTCCAATCCTCCAGCCCCATCCCCCAATCCCACCCCCAACACCTCGCTCAACTGAGTTCCCTGCCTGGAACCTGCGGCCGGGGGAGGGGAGACTTTGGGCAGCTACGTGGGCCACGGGATTCTGACGAGGGGTCAATGGTCCCAGCAACTTAACCGGGAAGTCGAATTCCCGCAGAGCCTATCGACTCTGAGCCTGGCGCAGGCGGACCCTCGCAAGATCTAGGCTGCAGGGTCTGTAGCCGGAGGAGGGCGGGAACGTGAGACACCTTTCATCGCATCTACCAGGCACCTTGTGTCATGTCCACGCGGGCCTCCTCAGCACACTTGACAGCTCAGCCACTGCATCTAGGAAAGACACCGGCCCTTTTGGATCGCGGTGCAGTAAATCCAGCAGGTTTCGGTGCTGGATTCAGTGTAGACGTTCCCACGTCTCCCGAAAGCAACTGGTGCGGAGGGTATTTAGGAGGTGAGAGTCTTGGACGCGTGTCCGGTTCAGAGTCCCACAGGAGTCCTGTAGCGGCGCAAAGCCTGGCCGGAAGAGGGCCGCGCCGCCCCTGCGGGTCCAGGCCCAGCCGGGCTGGCTGCGGATCAAAGAGCCACGGCCGCCCTTCTCTGCGTTCAGATCCTATCTGCACCCGCCCAGCGGGGCGCCTCGGCCCCCCCACCTCAGGGCTAGAGTGCCCAATTTTCCTCCCTTCCCGGTGCTGGAGGGGCGAGGCGGGGTGGGGGTGGGGGTCGGGGGGAGGGGGTTAGGCACTGGTGCTCAGCTTGGTGACGGAGATGTGGGAAGACCCTGCCCGTTAGGTCTCCCCTGGCTCCTTTCTTGGCTGTGAGCTTGCTGCTCAGTCTCACTCATCCCCTCTAGAGTGTGTGGGGGGGAGGGTTGTTCCAGCCTGACTTGGCCCAGTTGAGAGGGAAGAGGGTACAGGAGGAGGGGCCCACAGCTTCCCCCCATCCCCTGCCCCTGAGGTTGCAGGGTCTGGCTTTGGATTGAGAGTCCTCTGGGAAGTTGAATGGGGATACAAATCTGCCTAATCCAAAGGCTTTGGAGGTCCTCCTCTGTTTGCGGGTGACCCCAGCTTAGCAGGAGCCTCCTTCCTCCAGGAGAAGGTCCGAAGACCCATGCCGTCACAGTGGACATAGGCCAGTGGGGATTGAAGTTTTCTCCATGGAGAAAGGAGAGAAGTCAGGGCAACAGTGAAGTGGTTGGTTTGTTTTTCTCAATAAGTCTAAATTTTTTTCAGCTTAAAGTATTAGCCTTTAATCAGAGATTATGAACTTTCTGTTCTATTGGGATGAAAACAGTCTTTCTTTACTAAAATCATAGTAAGAATTGATTTTTTAAATATTCTTATTTGGCAAAAGAAAAACTTGGCCACTCTCTGTTCTCTCTGCCACCCCAAATTTCTTTGGACATTTTATAGGGCTGTGAAATCCTCAGGTCTGGGATCTGCTGCCCTATGGGGTTATGGCCCCAACCTCTTGCCCTGCTGGGTGGAACCGGGAGAGGGGGTGTGTGAGTAGGGAGAACAGAGGGGTGAGGTGGGGTAAGGTTGGGAGAGAGAAGCTGAGGCTCAGACATCCACAGCCACACTGAAATCAGCCTGAAGGCTTGCTGAGGGAGACTCTACCCTATACCTGGACTCAGGCTGTGGAGAAGGGAGGGCCTGAAGTGAGGACCTGCCCTCCAGGAGGCATTGACTGTTTGAGAAGCTCAGAAATTACTAGAGCTGAGTTTGTTACTGTATTAATCTGTACAGATGATGGGCAGAAGGAGCTCAGATATGGGGAGATCAATGTGGCTGGAAAGGTCAGGCTGGTTTCCTGAAGGAGGCGGATTTCGTCTGGGCCTGGAAGGCTCTGTAGTGCTTGGAGAGATAGAGAGGAAAAGGTATTCAGGCTTGTCCCCATAAGATATATACCCACCTCTGCAGCAGCCCCTTGTCTGGTCAGCACTGAATCCATCATCCACACAGTGACTTCATATTACTGAGTGATTACTATGTGCCAGGCATCATGGCAAGAGCTTCACACACATTATCTCATTTATTCACCATATACCAATCCTATGACATAGGGACTATTATCCCCATTTATGAATGAGGAAACTAAAAAGCTCAGAGAGGTTGAATAAGTCATTGCAGTTCTCACAGCTTAGAAGTGAGGGTATTAGTATTCCGAACCCTGGCAGTCTGACTCCTGAGCTACCCTAACCACCACACTCTAGTGTGGTGACTTCTAAAATTCCAGAGGGTGTCCTTATCTGCCTTGTGATCTTTGCAGACAAATGCTGATGAATGAGCTGTCGCTAATAGAATCCCAGCTTTCTGGGTGGCTCACGTTGCATACAGGGGCCACCAGGAGGATTGGGGAAAGTTCCTGGCTGGTCTGAATAGGGTGGCTCAAGCCCTTTGCTGGTTGAGTGGGCCCAGAGCATCTGCCTTGAGTCAGACAGACCTCAGCCCATACCATCTCTCCCTTGGGCTCGCCCTAGACTGCTTGCTCTGGGCGCTGACTCAGATCCCAAACAGAGATGATAGGCCCTGGGGTTCCTCTGTGGGGTGGTGAGTGGGATCTGCTGTGGCTGCCCCTCCTGGAGGTGACCAGGGAGTTTGGGGACCAGGGCCAACTGCAGGGAGGCCCCAGAATCTTCTGGACTCACGCAGCCCAGGCTTCATTTTCACACAAATGAACTAGGTGGATCGCGCTGTCAACAGATGTTGAACGCAGGACAAAATCAGAGCTCTTAAGGGTTGAGGGATGGAACAAGAGAGCTCTAGGTTTGGATTTAGACAGACCTGGTTTCCATCCCTGCCCTGTCATTTATTAGCTGGGGGACCGCAGATAAATCACCGACCCTCTCTGAGCCTCAGCTTCCTCAGGGGTAAAATGGGTGTCACCCCAGAGCCTGCCTCGCACTGCGGGAGCAAGGCTGAGATGACTCATGTATCCTAGGAAAGAGCTTAGCACAACAACCAGCACATTCCAAGCACTCTAATAAATGGGTGCTCTTGAGCTAGATATTTTTCAGAAGTTGTTAGGCTAATTGGCTCTTCATGTAATGTCATGTAAATCATCTAAATGTTCTCATGGCCTGAGCTCACTTAATCACAACTAAGGCTGAAAATATACATTTCCTTTCCTTTTCTTTCAAGTTCCTTTAACATGAAAGGCCCACATGAACTCTCTGACCTTTTCTAACAGGGAGACTCTTGAAATGTGGTGTTTCCAGAAAACAGCTCAAAGGAGCCCCAGATGGATTTGGTAAATTACAACGGGGAGAGAGGTTCAGAGTGGGTCTCTTCCTGCCCTCCAGCCGCCTGGCATCCTGTTGGGGCTTGCTGAACGCTGCCTGGAGGCTGGGCTGCTGGCTCCGGGCAGGAACACTTCCCATGGAGCTTTCTCTCTCGGGGCAAAGCCTGGTCACACGTCCTAGAGTCAGACTGGTTTGTTACTAGAAACACAGTTTGCTCTCTGAAAACTCTGTGTAGTTTCACTGCACGTCTGTGCATGTGTGTCTGTGTGTGTACATGTGGGAGGTTGTGGCCTGCAGAATGGCAAAGACACACAATTGCTGGGATGTGACTGATCTGGCAGCTGCCTTTAAAATGAAGCAAGAGTGGTTAAGACTCCGCCTGCCAATGCAGGGGACACGGGTTCGAGCCCTGGCCTGGGAAGATCCCACATGCCGCGGAGCAACAAAGCCCGTGCACCACAACTACTAAGCCTGTGCTCTAGAGCCTGCGAGCCACAACTACTGAGCCCACGTGCCACAACTACTGAGCCTGTGAGCCACAATTACTGAAGCCTGCACACCTAGAGCCCGTGCTCCACAACAAGAGAAGCCACTGCAATGAGAAGCCCGCGCACCGCAACAAAGAGTAGCCCCCACTCACTGCAACTAGAGAAAGCCCGCACGCAGCAACAAAGACCCAGTGCAGCCAAAAATATATATATAAACGAATAAATTTTTAAAATAAATAAATAAAATGAAGCAACAGGGTTTGGGGTCATTTTTTCCATCTTTATAATCTTCTGTGTTTTTCCCCCAGACCCCCTCCCCCGCAATTAATGCACTAACCGAGAATTACTCTTTTTTTTTTAATATAAATTTATTTATTTATTTTTGGCTGCATTGGGTTTTCGTTGCCGCGCACTGGCTTTCTCTGGTTGCAGCGAGCGGGGGCTACTCTTCGTTGTGGTGCGCAGGCTCCTCATGGCGGTGGCTTCTCTTGTTGCGGAGCATGGGCTCTCGGCGCACAGGCTTCAG